ACATGCATTATATATAAACAGGAAAGAAAACACCACAGACCACTTCCTGCTAACATGCACCATATATAAACAGGAAAGAAAACACCACAGACCACTTCCTGCTAACATGCACCATATATAAACAGGAAAGAAAACACCACAGACCACTTCCTGCTAACATGCACCATATATAAACAGGAAAGAAAACACCACAGACCACTTCCTGCTAACATGCACCATATATAAACAGGAAAAGAAAACACCACAGACCACTTCCTGCTAACATGCACCATATATAAACAGGAAAGAAAACACCACAGACCACTTCCTGCTAACATGCACCATATATAAACAGGAAAGAAAACACCACAGACCAGTTCCTGCTAACATGCACCATATATAAACAGGAAAGAAAACAACACAGACCACTTCCTGCTAACATGCACCATATATAAACAGGAAAGAAAACACACCATCGACCACTTCCTGCTAACATGCACCATATATAAACAGGAAAGAAAACAACACAGACCACTTCCTGCTAACATGCACCATATATAAACAGGAAAGAAAACAACACAGACCACTTCCTGCTAACATGCACCATACATAAACAGGAAAGAAAAACAACACAGACCACTTCCTGTTAACATGCACCATATATAAACAGGAAAGAAAACAACACAGACCACTTCCTGCTAACATGCACCATATATAAACAGGAAAGAAAACACCATCGACCACTTCCTGCTAACATGCACCATATATAAACAGGAAAGAAAACACCACAGACCACTTCCTGCTAACATGCACCATATATATAAACAGGAAAGAAAACAACACAGACCACTTCCTGCTAACATGCACCATATATAAACAGGAAAGAAAACACCACAGACCACTTCCTGCTAACATGCACCATATATAAACAGGAAAGAAAACAACACAGACCACTTCCTGCTAACATGCACCATATATAAACAGGAAAGAAAACAACACAGACCACTTCCTGCTAACATGCACCATATATAAACAGGAAAGAAAACACCATCGACCGCTTCCTGCTAACATGCACCATATATAAACAGGAAAGAAAACAACACAGACCACTTCCTGCTAACATGCGCCATATATAAACAGGAAAGAAAACAACACAGACCACTTCCTGCTAACATGCACCATATATAAACAGGAAAGAAAACACCATCGACCACTTCCTGCTAACATGCACCATATATAAACAGGAAAGAAAACAACACAGACCACTTCCTGCTAACAGGCACCATATATAAACAGGAAAGAAAACAACACAGATCACTTCCTGTTAACATGCACCATATATAAACAGGAAAGAAAACACCATCGACCACTTCCTGCTAACATGCACCATATATAAACAGGAAAGAAAACAACACAGACCACTTCCTGCTAACAGGCACCATATATAAAGAGGAAAGAAAACAACACAGATCACTTCCTGTTAACATGCACCATATATAAACAGGAAAGAAAACACCACAGACCACTTCCTGCTAACATGCACCATATATAAACAGGAAAGAAAACACCACAGACCACTTCCTGCTAACATGCACCATATATAAACAGGAAAGAAAACACCACAGACCAGTTCCTGCTAACATGCACCATATATAAACAGGAAAGAAAACAACACAGACCACTTCCTGCTAACATGCACCATATATAAACAGGAAAGAAAACACCATCGACCACTTCCTGCTAACATGCACCATATATAAACAGGAAAGAAAACAACACAGACCACTTCCTGCTAACATGCACCATATATAAACAGGAAAGAAAACAACACAGACCACTTCCTGCTAACATGCACCATATATAAACAGGAAAGAAAACAACACAGACCACTTCCTGTTAACATGCACCATATATAAACAGGAAAGAAAACAACACAGACCACTTCCTGCTAACATGCACCATATATAAACAGGAAAGAAAACACCATCGACCACTTCCTGCTAACATGCACCATATATAAACAGGAAAGAAAACACCACAGACCACTTCCTGCTAACATGCACCATATATATAAACAGGAAAGAAAACAACACAGACCACTTCCTGCTAACATGCACCATATATAAACAGGAAAGAAAACACCACAGACCACTTCCTGCTAACATGCACCATATATAAACAGGAAAGAAAACAACACAGACCACTTCCTGCTAACATGCACCATATATAAACAGGAAAGAAAACACCATCGACCACTTCCTGCTAACATGCAAAATATATAAACAGGAAAGAAAACAACACAGACCACTTCCTGCTAACATGCACCATATATAAACAGGAAAGAAAACAACACAGACCACTTCCTGCTAACATGCACCATATATAAACAGGAAAGAAAACGCCATCGACCACTTCCTGCTAACATGCACCATATATAAACAGGAAAGAAAACAACACAGACCACTTCCTGCTAACATGCACCATATATAAACAGGAAAGAAAACAACACAGACCACTTCCTGCTAACATGCTCCATATATAAACAGGAAAGAAAACAACACAGACCACTTCCTGCTAACATGCACCATATATAAACAGGAAAGAAAACAACACAGACCACTTCCTGCTAACATGCACCATATATAAACAGGAAAGAAAACACCATCGACCACTTCCTGCTAACATGCACCATATATAAACTGGAAAGAAAACACCACAGACCACTTCCTGCTTACATGCACCATATATAAACAGGAAAGAAAACAACACAGGCCACTTCCTGCTAACATGCACCATATATAAACAGGAAAGAAAACACCACAGACCACTTCCTGCTAACATGCACCATATATAAACAGGAAAGAAAACACCACAGACCACTTCTTGCTAACATGCACCATTTATAAACAGGAAAGAAAACACCACAGACCAGTTCCTGCTAACATGCACCATATATAAACAGGAAAGAAAACAACACAGACCACTTCCTGCTAACATGCACCATATATAAACAGGAAATAAAACACCATCGACCACTTCCTGCTAACATGCACCATATATAAACAGGAAAGAAAACAACACAGACCACTTCCTGCTAACATGCACCATATATAAACAGGAAAGAAAACAACACAGACCACTTCCTGCTAACCTTCACCATATATAAACAGGAAAGAAAACACCATCGACCACTTCCTGCTAACATGCACCATATATAAACAGGAAAGAAAACACCACAGACCACTTCCTGCTAACATGCACCATATATAAACAGGAAAGAAAACACCATCGACCACTTCCTGCTAACATGCACCATATATAAACAGGAAAGAAAACACCTGGAAGACTATTTTCAAAAAAATAAATGTCATTGACATCCAAGGAATGCTTACACATTGACAGCAATAATAACATACAGAAACAAAGAAATTCATTAGCAGGACACGTACAAATAAATGTCTCTATAGACAAAGACATAATGAGACTGAGACGGCGAGATGGTAAAAAGGAACTGAGAAACGTGAATAATAAAGGATAAGGAATTAAATTGTGTGAAACAACCTAAAAAAGCCAAAACTGCTTAACCATCCCCTTATAGTAGAGGTATTGAGAAGACGTCACATATACAAAGCAAAAGACCCAGACTAGTGACCAGCCGTGTCAACATCTGAACCCATGGCCCTCTGATCCACAGGCGAGTGTCTGGCAGCTGCACGACAGAGTCTGCTTTGAGTGTACGTGTACATGCATATGTATGTGTGTAAGCAAACACGTGTGCATAGATTATCGTTTGGGCGTGTGCGCGTGTGTATATATCCATGCGTGTCTATGCAAAGGCGTATGCGTGCATTCACACACGGGCTTGAAGACATGTATATGTGTGTGTGTTTGTGTGTGTATGTAATTGTACATGTATGTCTGTATAGTCTATATATGAGTGTGTGGTTGTGTTTAGTGCATGCCGGCTCCCTCCACAATAGTCCTCACTAAGTGCTAGAGAGCCGCCGCTCCAAGCCACTAGTTTTGGTGCAATTGACATTTCTTAGCCAACATAATTGACACAAAGAAACCAGACCACAATTATAACCGATACTGAAGTAAAAAAAAAGAGGAGAACATAGACAGATGAAAATAAATAGCTTCTACGTCAATACGGAATAACAACAGCCTTTGGTGCCCATTACGCAATGGATCGTAACTTGTTCCTCCCCACAACGCTCAACGACAGAAGTGAAAATTGATGATGATCTTGTTGATTACCTCGTTTGGATTTCAGCTATGACTTTCTGTGTCTGAGCGTGTTATGGGCGAACTCAGAAGAAGAAGAAGAAATAGAAGAGGACGAAGAAGAAGAAGAGGAAGAGTAGAGTAGATTTTTACCCCGCCAGGACATCACACAAGCGATAAACACCTGATGACACAGGAAGAGGAGGACGAAGCAGAAGTAATATTTGAGGAGGCGATTAGGTCAAGTGTTCAAGTCTATACTGCTTGGACTGGCCTCCAACGCTGGCATAAGTCGGGGCAGTAAACAAATACCACACAACACGGCAGGAAGGGTGACTGCATCATCGAGTAGGCGGCAGGAACAAGACAAGGACAGGCACAGATTTCGCTCTGGCCATCTCTTCTCTACAGTTTCACGCAAAGTATTCTTCACTAACAAATTGTCGCATGACGCCTACGTTAAATTTGACGAATCAGCTTAGGAATAAAACCGAAACCGACCTGGGAAGTCAGTTCTGCATTAAGTAGAAAGTATCAACATACCGATAGTTATAGTTAGTAGTTACTGTTTTAACGATTCAGTATCGCTGAGAAAGACAAATAATTGACTCAACTGTCTCAACTCAGCTGACTGTATGACATAGTTTATAATTTCATATAATTCTAAAAAATTGTGTGCACCAGTAATGCATTAATATATTCTTTAAATGTTCATTTAGTTTAGTGGATACCAGTGACATTGATAATAATAATAAATACTACAAAAACGCTAGACCAATTTATTAGTAATAAATATGGCGTTTAAACGCACTGGTATAATTACTGTGAATAAATGTGCTGGTACCTTCAGAGAGCATTGCGGACAGAATCCTATAATGAAAAAGTGTGCGAAAGACTCATTTTATGGGTTGACGAGAACTTTTGCTGCATGGTACCATGATGCCTTCAGTTTAGCTGGAAACATTCAGAGAATAAACGTCAGACTCGGCAACCTTCATGATTCTGTTGTAACATCCATTAATTTAAATAGTGTAAATTCTAGATTAAATCAAGTAGCCAGTTTTTCACTTGCTGGCAGGAAACATAGATGTACTAATTCTACATTATTTTCTGGGTTGAATGTCAGGAAGTTCTCAGATGTTTCGCATCCAGCAAATGCATTAATTACGTCCAGGAATGTTCCTACTCTCGTTCCTTGTGGGAAGAAATCAGCTTTCTTGCTACATGCTCTACGTGAGGTCAGTGTCATTTGTTGTCGAATGAAGCATTCCCTGCCCAAGGTTCCGCCTACTCGCATGATGTCTGTGTATGACATTGAGAGAGCCATCACAGATGAAGAAGCAGCAAAAGAATTTGTTTATGCTTTAAAGGCCAGTGAACGAAAATTTCTGTATGAAGAGCTGGCTCGTTTCCATGGAGACACTTCAATTCTTAACAGTAAGTGCTTTTTTCTTGTAGATTTTTATGGTATTTAAAAATCTTTTCACTTCCTGTTATGATCATCATCATGTGTTTTGCTGATAAACTGGAAACATTTGTGCATTCAGAACAAATACCTAAGAATATTTGATGAATGGCCTCAATTAACAGTGGATAAAGATATAAGAGAAATGTCTGGACAACTTCTAACATCAACAACAAAACAAAACAAAAAAAAAGGAACAGAAAAGCACTACACCCCCATTAATGTTTTTATGTTTTTCGGAAAAGGGGGAGGGGAGGGGGGGGGGGGTCCATTCAAGAACATGATATGATTACCCTCCACCTTTCCCCAAACCTAATTGTACACCTAGAAAGTTTGTAAGACAATGATGGCATCGTTTGAGGGGGCCACATATTTGGTTGTTTTCCTTATTGGGGTGGGAGGAGGGGCCTGAAAGTGTTTGAGCCGAACACAGTTTTTGCCTAGGTGGCGAGGAGGGCATGGTTGGGAAGGGGGTGGGGGGGGGGGGGCGGTCCCATACATTTGCTTAATGTTTCTTAAATCCCCCTCCCCCATGGATTTTTGGTGGCGGCGCACTTGGAAGATGGTCATGTATTAGGCATTCCATGAGTAGAAGTGGACAGGGAATCACCAAACAGGCAGTGAAATGGGAAACAACTGGTCTGAGAATATGAGGAAGCCCAAATTACTGCCAAAGACAAATTTTGAGAAGTCGCTAACCTCTTTTGGTAAGAGCCTGCATGATGTGGCATATCAAGGTATTTTCTCAAAGTGTGCAAATTATAATTCTTGTATTTATTGTCTTTGTATGTAATTTAAAATTGATTCTAGTGCCAAGTTTTTCTCTTATTGCTTGATTTTAGTTTTATCTCTGTTGGTCACCCCATCAGCCTTTCTTATCCTTCTCATTTTTCTGATAATTTAATCAATAAATAATATTTTTGGCTGCCCCATGTTTGGTATTTGGAAATCTTCTTCCTTTGAAGCCACATAATTTGAACACAAAGTAAAAAAATTAAACAGCGGTTATTAGAGATTTTTATATGCCACTGAGCCAGTGTGAGAGAGCTGGATCAACACCAGCAACTTTAATGCATGTCTTTCTGAGATCATTGTGACCTGTGTATGTGTGGCAGTATCTGTGTATGTGTGCATATCTGTCTTATGTGTAGACCAGTGTGACCTTTTGTGTATATGTGTTTGAGATTTGAGGTGTAAGTAGCTTATGTATGATTATCTGTCTGCAGGTCTGTCTTATGAGACCAGTGTCACCTTCTGTGTATTTGAGTGTCTGTATGCGACCGGTATTAATGTTTGTGCGTGTGCATGTCTGTATTCTGAGACCAGTGTGACCTTGTGTGTGTGTGTGTGTGTGTGTGTGTGTGTATGTCTGTCTTCTGAGACAAGTGCGACCTGTTTTAAATATGTGTGTATATGTGTGCATCTCTGTCTTCTGAGACCAGTGAGACCTGTATTTGTGTGTGTATATGTGTGAATGTCTGTCTTGAGACCAGTGTGACCTGTTGTATATGTGTGCATGTCTGTCTTCTGTGACCAGTGTGACCTTGTGTGGGTATGTATATGTCTGTCTTATGAGACCAATGTGACCTTGTGTGTATGTATATGTCTGTCTTCTGAGACCAATGTGACCTTGTGTGTGTATGTATATGTCTGTCTTCTGAGACCAGTGTGACCTTGTGTGAGTATGTATATGTCTGTCTTTTGAGACCAATGTTACCTTGTGTGGGTATGTATATGTCTGTCTTCTGAGACCAATGTTACCTTGTGTGGGTATGTATATGTCTGTCTTCTGAGACCAATGTTACCTTGTGTGTGTATGTATGTATATGTCTGTCTTCTTAGACCGATGTGACCTTGTGTGTGTGTGTATGTATATGTCTGTCTTCTGAGACCAATGTGACCTTGTGTGTGTGTGTATGTATATGTCTGTCTTCTGAGACCAATGTTACCTTGTGTGTGTGTATGTATATGTCTGTCTTCTGAGACCAATGTGACCTTGTGTGTGTGTATGTATATGTCTGTCTTCTGAGACCAATGTGACCTTGTGTGTGTGTGTGTGTGTGTGTATGTCTGTCTTCTGAGACCAATGTTACCTTGTGTGTGTATGTATATGTCTGTCTTCTGAGACCAATGTGACCTTGTGTGTGTGTGTATATGTATATGTCTGTCTTCTGAGACCAATGTTACCTTGAGTGGGTATGTATATGTCTGTCTTCTGAGACCAATGTTACCTTGTGTGGGTATGTATATGTCTGTCTTCTGAGACCAATGTTACCTTGTGTGGGTATGTATATGTCTGTCTTCTGAGACCAATGTTACCCTGTGTGTGTGTATGTATATGTCTGTCTTCTGAGACCAATGTGACCTTGTGTGTGTGTATGTATATGTCTGTCTTCTGAGACCAATGTGACCTTGTGTGGGTATGTATATGTCTGTCTTCTGAGACCAATGTGACCTTGTGTGTGTGTGTATATATGTCTGTCTTCTGAGACCAATGTTACCTTGTGTGTGTGTGTATATGACTGTCTTCTGAGACCAATGTGACCTTGTGTGTGTGTATGTATATGTCTGTCTTCTGAGACCAATGTGACCTTGTGTGTGTGTATGTATATGTCTGTCTTCTGAGACCAATGTTACCTTGTGTGTGTGTATGTATATGTCTGTCTTCTGAGACCAATGTGACCTTGTGTGTGTATGTATATGTCTGTCTTCTGAGACCAATGTGACCTTGTGTGTGTATGTATATGTCTGTCTTCTGAGACCAATGTGAACTTGTGTGTGTGTGTATGTATATGTCGTCTTCTGAGACCAATGTGAACTTGTGTGTGTGTGTATATGTCTGTCTTCTGAGACCAATGTGAACTTGTGTGTGTGTGTATATGTCTGTCTTCTGAGACCAATGTGAACTTGTGTGTGTGTGTATATGTCTGTCTTCTGAGACCAATGTGAACTTGTGTGTGTGTGTATATGTCTGTCTTCTGAGACCAATGTGAACTTATGTGTGTGTGTATATGTCTGTCTTCTGAGACCAATGTGAACTTGTGTGTGTGTGTGTATATGTCTGTCTTCTGAGACCAATGTGACCTTGTGTGTGTATGTATATGTCTGTCTTCTGAGACCAATGTGACCTTGTGTGTGTATATGTCTGTCTTCTGAGACCAATGTGACATTGTGTGTGTATGTATATGTCTGTCTTCTGAGACCAATGTGACCTTGTGTGTGTCTGTATATGTCTGTCTTCTGAGACCAATGTGACCTTGTGTGTGTATGTATATGTCTGTCTTCTGAGACCAATGTGACCTTGTGTGTGAGTGAATATGTCTGTCTTCTGAGACAAATGTTACCTTGTGTGTGTATGTATATGTCTGTCTTCTGAGACCAATGTGAACTTGTGTGTGTGTGTATATGTCTGTCTTCTGAGACCAATGTGAACTTGTGTGTGTGTGTATATGTCTGTCTTCTGAGACCAATGTGAACTTGTGTGTGTGTGTATATGTCTGTCTTCTGATACCAATGTGACCTTGTGTGTGTATGTATATGTCTGTCTTCTGAGACCAATGTGAACTTGTGTGTGTATGTATATGTCTGTCTTCTGAGACTAATGTGAACTTGTGTGTGTGTGTGTATATGTCTGTCTTCTGAGACCAGTTTAATCTGTTGTATATGTATGTGTATCTTTATGCATGTCTGTTTCATGAAACCCATGTGACCATTTGTATAGGTAAAAACAGTCAGTGTAATGATTAGCACTCATAGAACGAAGTAGAAAGATAGAAGGACGCAGTAGACAACATAAAAATTGAAAGCTTTAGTTACCTTGCCGGAAATCAGGCCTGTCATCTCAAAACAATGAATGTGCCTTGAGACAAGTGTACTGCGACCCATGACCAACTAAGCACCCCTAAAGAAAGATGTCTTCATTAGCCATCTTCCTCATACAGCTTGAAATTCACGGCTATGGAATATGGACATAGTTAATCTCAAACCTTTAAAATAACACAGTAGGTTACAGAGCTGTATTTAACCAAGCATAGGATAAATAACATATGCAACAACCATATATAGATGCAGGCTGCGGATATGTGTCCTACGATTCTGGTGAACACTCAAGGGAAAGGTGAGACGGATGTACAATCAAAGACTGTTGCTGATACCATTGGAATTGGAACTCTTTGCTTGCTGTTGGAGATGGGGATGGAGTGCTTATGGGAGTGTTCTGAGTGCTATGATTTTGATTCCTGATTCAACATTTGACATTTGATTCCCAGGCCATTACTTTCACAGAATTCATTAATTCCCATTATTGATTCCAATTCCTATTGTTGTTGTGCCTTAGACTTCAGCCATTTCTCATTGTCAGGATTTTTTCTGTGAATTCCCTTTCATGTTTCCCTTTGAAAGTAGTTTCCCCTGGGAGTTACATCTCATTCTGCCTGTGGTTTTTTTTGTGTGTGTGTGGTGGGTTATCATATAAACATTCCTCCATATCTGACTTAAAAAAAAAAAAAAGGACTCCTTTCCATCCTTCAGGCATAATGGGCATATAGTCCTAATGGGCATATAGTCCTAGTAGTATGGTCTATCTTCACAGTACTCCTGACAGATACATAAATTGTTCCATCATAAATTAGTAGTGTGGTCTGTCTTCACAGTACTCCTGACAGATACATAAATTGTTCCATCATAAATTAGTAGTGTGGTCTGTCTTCACAGTACTCCTGACAAATACATAAATTGTTCCATCATAAATGAGTAGTATGGTCTATCTTCACAGTACTCCTGACAGATACATAAATTGTTCCATCATAAATTAGTAGTGTGGTCTGTCTTCACAGTACTCCTGACAGATACATAAATTGTTCCATCAAAAATTAGTAGTGTGGTCTGTCTTCACAGCACTCCTGACAAATACATACATTGTTCCATCATAAAAAGGTAGTGTGGTCTATCTTCACAGTACTCCTGACAGATA